CGGGGGCTCGGCGGGAGATGCAGAGCCTGGAGGCGGGCGCGTGTCCCTGGCTCCCACCAGCCCGCCTGGGTAGCGTTGGGCACGGAGGTGCTGGGGAGGATCAGCGGGGGGCTACGGGCACGGGCCTGCCTCCGACATCGACAGAACTCCCCGGTGCCTCCCCTGGGGGCGTCGGGGGCTGCTGCCTGGGACGCCAGCTGCCTCCGGAGGCGGCCAACACGCTCCTGGAGCTGCCTGGGAGTTTTCCTGGAGAGCTAGCGGGCACGGACCTGCCCCCGGCATACGCAATGCTTTCGGGGGCCCCCGGCTCCTCTGAGGCAGCTACCCAAGGAGCTTTGTGTGTCCTGAGGCAGGTCCATGCTGGTAGCTCCTCCCAGGCATCTCCAAGAGCTTCCTCTGGAGATGGCTGAAGTCCCGGGAGGCAGCTCCAGACTCCTGCTAGGCAGTCAGCTGAAGAGCTTTGCCCATGAAGTAGATGATCTCTAAGGTCCCTTCCAATCCAAACCACGCTATGATTCTATGTTTGGGGGAGGAAAGGTGAGGGAGAAACCACAAGCCACCCGAGAAGTCATGAGTTAACCAGCCTGATCAGCAATTAACACGACCTGACCCGTTGGGATACCAAGGGGCTATGCAGTCCCCAGACCACCCAGCTTTTCCAATGCTGTGACAACACCCTGAGCCTGGGACCTGGGAGGGGTCTCCTCCGTGCCACGGAGGTGTAGACGGGAGGTGGGCACTGGGTGGCGACGTGGCATGGGCCATCGCCCTCGGGCCTCCTCTTGCCGCTCCTGCCACCGACGGGCAGCCCAGCTATTCCCACACCGATCTGTCACTGGGCCGGCTCTTCCTGAGCAGTATCCTCATGATGTGGTCCGCACCGTCACACCTTCCCAGTGGCACAGGACAACCCAATTCCCAACCTCACGTTCCCAACCCTCCCCTCACTGGCTTTTTCTTTGCCTAGAGATGTCATTTATTCCACCAGGAGACCTCACCATCATCCTGTTTCCTGGTGTTAAGAGGCCAACCGGTTGGCTCATGATTTTTTGGAAGGGACTCTTGATCCGGAGCATTTCAGCTCTGCTCCAGGACATCTCCTGCAGCCGTTGTCCCTTGCACTGCTTACCGTCACCTTCCGAACGGCCCCCGTGCAAACCCTGGCCCTGAAACGGGGATTTACCTCATCGAAGAGCTGCAGCATGATGGTGAGGACATCTGGGTGGGCTTTGTCAACCTCGTCGAAGAGCACCACAGCATTCGGACACTGCCTCAGCTTTTTGGTGAGCTGCCCACCCTCTTCATGGCCCACGTAGCCAGGCGGGGAGCCGATAAACTTGGCAACCTAGGAGGATCATGGAACCATTTGGTTGGAAAAGCCCTTTAAGATCATCGAGCCCAACCGTTCCCCTACCCCTGCCATCCCACCCTCAAACCCTGGCCCTCAGCACCGCCTCTGCCCGGCTGTTAAATCCCCCCAGGGCTGGGGACTCGACCCCTTCCCTGGGCAGCCCAGGAAGCAACGGGATACGGTGAAATGCCCCACGGATGCCAGGAATGAAGCCCCCTGGGTAGCTCAGCAGGCAGCCACAACTCTTTGCTGCCGACAAATCAAGCTCTTTCTGACATCAGTCACACCCCGAAATCAGCTTTAACAGGCAACGATTTGGTGAAATGCAGATTGGTGGCTGCTGACCTTGGCCAGCGCTTTAACCAGCGGCGTCTGCAGGAGCAGCGCCCGGCAGCCCAGCAGGCACAACCCCTGCTTTTCCAAACGGCGTCCGAGCGACCCATCCCGGCTGTCCAGGACCTGCTCTCGTGGCCTTCAGCCTTTTTAAGAGCCAGAACTCAAAGGATCATGAGTGGCTCTGGTGGGGAATCAGAGCTCAGGAAGAGGCCACAAGGAAAATAGCTTTTCCCACGCCAGTAACCGACTTCATTACTTCTTGACACTGCGCTTCTGAAGCAGAAGGAATTCACAGACTCACAGAATCGCAAGGGTTGGAAGGGACCTCGGGGGATCACCCAGTGCCACCCCCCTGCCCAAGCAGGCTCACCCACAGCAGGGGGCACAGGACAGCGGCCAGGCGGGGGTTGAAGATCTCCAGAGAAGGAGACTCCACAGCCCCCCTGGGCAGCCTGGGCCAGGGCTCCATCACCCTCACAGTCAACAAGTTCTTCCTCCCGTTCACCTGGAACCTCTT